GGTTATTAAAAGGGGCTGGCACCCCCGGAGCCAGCCCCACACTGCCCCAAGCAGCCCGGTGGGAGGGAGGAGGGAAAGCAGGTTGCGTCCCTGCCTGCCCCTGAGGCAGCAGGTTGTGCCCAGCTGGAGATGTGGCTTTGCAGAGGCTGAATGTACATGGTGAGGGCCTAGCACCTCGGTCCAAAAGGTCTTGAGAGCTCTCATTCGTGCTAAGAAACAGAGCATTGCACCGGCAGTGGGGAAAGTGTAGCCAAGCAAACCTCGCTGCTTTCCTTCCTGGTCCAGCTGCCTCCTTTGCCTGCCCCTGGTTGCAGCATCCTCTGCCTGGGCCAGGAGCCCTGAGATAGGCACGTTTTCAAGGACTAGGAGGGATTACTGAATAATCGCTTCAGCAGGGCTGTGCACGACGGGCTGCTCAGCCGATTGTTTGCGGGGGTTGTGCCTGCAGGAGTTCACCCGGGCAGGTCGATGTTCACATCCACAGCTCATTCTGCTTGCACAATTACCCTGGCACAAACAGCTTTTGCAGGCAGTGCTTCTGCTCCCGTCATGTTGTATCTGACAGGGTTCTTGCATATACAGCCTGAAGCCAAGTGATTTGGCTCTGCAGTTTGGAAGTGAACTCTGTGAGTCCTGGCCTTAGAGCGAGTGCACACGTGTGAGCCCCGCGCAGCAGCTCCGAGCCTCTCTCTGGCAGCCCTGCTGCTCTGCTTGCCACATGGCCAGCACACGCAACACAGACAGCACTTCAGCAAATGCAGCACTGTATTGGTCTCTGCTGAGAGCCGAGAGATCAACAGGGTTCAGCTGGACCACGTGGATTTTAGGTACCGTTTTTCTTTCTCTTTTAGTTTCTCCCAGTAGTACCAGGTCTGGCATGACCAGTTAGAGAGATAAGTTGGGTACTGGCATGCTGTCTATTCCTCATTTGCAGCAGCTTGGATGTTTTTTTTATGGGCCTGTAGGAATGTCATTGCCAGGAGATAAAATATATCTGAATTGGGCTGGGCAATCTGGGTCTTGTTCTCTTTTTACCAATGAGCAGCATTATTAGTGTAGCAGAAACCAGAGAGACACTCCCAGCGGGGACCAAAGGGCTGGCAGTGCTGGCCAGGCTTGGGCTGGAGGCATGAGAGCCCTTGGTGATTCTCCAGGCACGCCTGAGCTCCTGGGGCAGGAGCCCTTTCTCTGTCACACCTTACCTAGGCAGCCAAGGGCATTTTTCATCTTTTGGGAGGTTGCTATTACAAATCAATGTTTTAAAAAGATTAGCCAAGCCAACTCCATTAATCCATTTGCCTCTGCTCCTTGTAATTAACTTGTCTTTAGATTACAATGTGGCTCCTAACAGAGATCTTAACTGCCTGGGGAAGGAGTCAAATATGCACGATGCTGCCAGGGTGTCCCTGCTTGCAGAACAACTGCCTTGGGATCCAAGCCGTGATTAAAAGAACCTGGAGCTGAGATAGCCCAAACTTTTCAGCTTTCCTATTCTCTGCGCAGGCAACTATTTTCACACAGAGTCCAAGAGAAGGAAAAAAAATATCATCGCTATAACCACCCAAATTCTGTCACTGGCTTTGCGTGAGCATCCTGGGGAGCGGGGAAGAGCTGAGTAATGCCGAGGCTGGTGCTCACTGCTTGGCCTCCTGCCTTGGGATCCTGGGCAGGGACCAAGGAGTCTGCAGAAGCCGCTACCTCTCACTCACAGGGACACATACCACAGCCCGGGTGCGGGAGAGCTGCAGGGACGGGAGAGCAAACAGAGCACATTGCTGTCATTCCTGTGCACCCCATGGGCTTGCACAACGGGTGCCTTTGGCCCGTGGACATTAAGACCCTGCTGCTTGATTGTAAATCTCTCCCTCAAGCATAGCTCTGCCCTCGGTGGGACTGCATAAATACAGCCTGTCTGCCAGCCGGTGTTAGCCACCAGCCTCCTCCTAACACCCCAGTCCTCCCCGTGTCCCATTTTGCAAGAGCTGGGTGCTTCTCCGAGCAAGGTGAAAACCACCCCAGGCCCCCGGTCTCCCTTACCTTGGAGAGGATGCAGAGGAGGGAGAGGAAAAGGAGCTGCTTCTCCAGCTGGAGCCTCATGCTGCTGTCCCCTCCACTACTTCAGCACATCACCCCCCAGGCAGCTGAGAGGCAGCGACGTGTTTGCAGGTTTTAAAGCCCCAAGCAGGTCCTGCTGGTGTTTATATTCTCCCTGCTCTGATGTCACTCACAGGCTCCAATATAAACATGAGTAGGTTTGGACAAGCCTCAAGATTTTCTTTTTTTTTTCTTTTCTTTTTTTTTTTTTCCAGCCTACATTCCAGCTGCCATTTCCACTCCCCTCAAGGTGAGAATCTGCTGTCCACTGTGACCGCCAGCGAAGGGAAGGGACTCTCTCCTGGCTGGGGAGCCAGGCTGGTGGGGGGGAACTGTTTCTTGCTGCTAACCACAACCAGGAAGGAAGGTCCATGCCTCTTCCTACTGATCAAGGTCTGCCCAGACAGAGCTGGTGTCCTCCTTCTGAGTTTCGAAGGGTTTGGCGGGGCTGTCCTTGCCACCATCTGCTCTAGGATGTTGCCATGACGGAGCATGAGCTGCCCTTAAGTTTTAAGCTGAGCACAGTGCGTGGCAGGCTGTGGGTGAGTTGTCCACCCTGGACAGAGCCTTGAAGTCAAGGGCAGGTTCCCGTCCCTCCATCTCTGGGGACAGCATGTGACTTGCTTTTGGTTGCCAGCAACTGAGGCTGCAGCAGTTTGCCAGGCAAGCTCTCCAGGCAGCAGAGATGTGCTTCTCTCTCCTTTTCTCTGACACAGCCAGAGCAGGAAAGGGACTTGTGGTGGTGGTGCCGCAGCTTCCCCATCCTGTGCGGGGGTGCAGCTGCCGGGGGATGCTGCTGGGGCAGGGGAGCTGGATGCACGTTGTGTCACCTTACCCCAGGTACCGGAGGCAGAGAGGGCTGCAGACTGGCCCTTGCAGAGGCACGGCTGATTTCAAACCTTGTAAATCCCAGTTCAGCCCCTTTTACCAAACAGGTCCTCAGTCACCTGAACAGTGATCTCAACCCCAGTTCCATCGCTTGCCATAGCCTGGAAGCCAGGGCACGGAGCAGGGAGGGCAGAGCCCAGCATGGAGGAGTGCGCAGCCAGAGCTCTCCTGTTACCACCCTGACTCCTCGCCTTGGTTTTGCTTCGTTAGCTGCAATCAATCTGTTAACAAGATCATGGCAGCTTATGGAAATACCAGGCCAGCTTCCAAAGGCTGCTGTCACTTATCCCAGCACTGGAGTCTCCGCTCCCAGTGTTGAAGCCCCAGTTCCCTGCAGCACCCGAGCCCTGCCTGGGGGCAAACCTGCCCAGTCACAGGGGAGGTGTGAGGACCACGTGTTGCTCTGTCCGTGGTTCAGGCCCTACCTATAGGTGCTCACTAGCCAGAACTTTCAATTCTGAAGGCCAGAGGCACATCTCGTGCTTCTGCTTTCTCCTCCGATCCCAGAGCCGGTGCCCTCCCACCAGTCGCTGCGTTTCGGGTGCCAGACGTCCCAGCTGTAGTGCCTCTATCAGCAATGGCTCGAGAGCTGCCAAAGCACTGAGCCAGACTTGCCCCAGGGCACAGGGAGTTCAATTAATTATTCCAGGCTTGTGTTTATTAGGGAAACCTGATTAATGGCCATGACTTCATTTCCTCTTCGGAACTCAGATGGCAGCACTGGTAAGGGAAATAAAACTGTCTCGTCGCCCTCAGGGAGCTGCTCTGGGAGCAGTGAAAGCCTCACGCGTGAGGCCTCAGGGGGCAGTGGGGAACCCCCTGGTGGGGCTGGGGCTCCGGGCTGCCCAGGGCAGCCC